TCCTCAGGGAGGTGCCAGTCTCATCCTCTTGTAGTTCCCACGCTCCTGCGGCGAGCTAAGAGAATGCTTATCTCCCTGAGCCTGGCCTTCATAATTCCATTCCATCACAATGCCCCTGTTAAGAGGACAAACTGCTTACCTGCCCATTTGCACTGTAAAAAGTAAAGTGCAAATGGCATCATAGACAGCTAAAGAAATCAGTGATGCCAACACAGCTGTTAAGGCGCCCTACAGCATTGCCATCCTTATGGAAGACGGTCTTTATTTCTATCAGCAACCATCTAGTCTTGGCACTGGAATTGGGTAACTTCCGGGTGACAATCCATCCTTTCCAATGTACTACATCAGTGAATGATGCCAACTATAAGTGACCTAAAGACCAGGCCAAAATCTGATTTTTCAATCAGGCTAGAGATTGAATGGGCTGTGCTTATAAGGGTAGCTATCTTCCACTCAAAGACCAGGCAAGGAAAAAGCAATGATATTCAAAATGAACCCAAGTCTTATCCTTTTGAAGAGTACTTCAGGCTCATTTTAATCATAATGGAAAAATATAATTCTGTTTCTTCACCCTCACCATAATACATATTATTACAATTTTGTAAACACTATAAATGGCTGTTATCATGATGCAATTATTTGTCATTAGAAATAGCCAAAGAGTGCTTTAGAGCAAAAGCCGAGCCTTCTATATGTCTATAGAATGGACACCGTCTGGTCTCTGAGATCTTAATACCACTGAATATATTTTCTTCTGAATTGTTTCTGTAGGGCTGAATGAAATTCTGTATAAACTCTGAATTATAATAACTTATTCCTATTATACTACTATGGTTATTCTGTGGAAAAAACTGTTTTTATACATCCATTGCTGATACTTGGCATTTCCCTGGAAGGCTCTTGACTAGAAGTTTTGAAATTGCCTGAATAAATTCACACCTGAACTGAAGATTTGAAAAATAAGAGACAATAGAAAAAAAATTAATATGCTTGTCATATGCTATGAAGCAAATCTGCTTCTGACTCACTGTTGTCATACCAATATACTAGCAAAGATTCTGTTGAATTGCTTGTGAATTATTCATCTATATTTTATTTCCACACTTGCTAGATTAAACCACTTACTGGCATGGCACAGACATTTTCAGACTTAAATGAAACTGCTCTTTCTATAGATATGCAGAGAGGTAACTATTGTGTCAAAATTGATCCTCACGCCTCAGGTCAAACATTTTACTTGCTATATTTTCTTCCTACTTCCTACAAGACAGTGCTTAGTTAGAAAAAAATGGTAGCTATAGATGATGGTAATCTGTCCTTGATGTTAAATTTGATTGAACATGTTAGTTCATTTTTTATTTGTACGATCAAGTTAACATAGAAGTCTTTCCCCCATCAATGACAAAATCAAACTTCAGTGGAAATCAAGTAGGTTCTCAAATTGTGCTATGCTATGACCACCCAGCCCCCCGCCCCATGAATTAATTTCTGTAATCCCCCATAAATAACGATATTAATGGTGGTAGAAGTGTTTACTGGTGGCTATCCAAAATGGTAGGTTTAGCATTGCAATCTCTTCC